AAACGGCCAGGGGCGAATCGCCGACCAACTCAAGGCTGCAGGCGCCGCTTGCGCTCAGAAAATGAAGGCCGGCCCCAACCTGATGGTGGTGATTCTGCCCGAGGGGTACGATTGTTTTCTGCACCTATTCGACATTTGCTTACCCTTCTTCCAGAGGTAACGATATCTACACCAGCGTCAAGCACTTTGGCGATATCACGGTCCGTCTTGTTGCTGTTTTTCTTCAATAGTCTTTCCTGACAATATCACAGATGGGCGTCGCGACGCAGTGCCTCAAGTCGAGCAAGTGCTTCCGAGCCAAGCCGCAGTACTATGCAAACGTCTGCCTCAAGATCAACGTCAAACTCGGAGGAATCAACACGATCCCGGACCCTTCATCCGTGTCCGTCTTGACCGACCCGCACAACCCCACCATTGTCATGGGTTCGTCTCTTTCATTGAATATTACAGTCTCATACTCAGATCCCCACAGGCGGTTCGTTCCTGTCTTTTACTTCTTTTTACTACTAACGACCATGCACGATCAATTCAGCCGATGTTCGTTCATCGCCCTCTTACTTCCGCGTCCTCTGATATTTTCTTGCAGGTCATCCACCCCGCTCCTGGTTCCGACGGGCGTCCTTCTTTCACTGCCCTCGTCGCGAACGTCGACTCGGACACGGCCAAGTACATCGCGGCTAGCCGTGTCCAAACATCTCGCCAGGAGATGATCGAGGAACTCCAGGGCATGAGCAAGCATTGTCTCTCGATGTACATGCGGTAATTATCTTACTCACGCTCATCGTTCCGCCATCTCACTGACGTTTGAACAGGTACCGCGAGATGGCGGAGAAAAAGGCCCCTGCGGCCTCCGCGCCGAAGCGCATCATCTTCTACCGCGGTACGTTGCTTCTGTATATTACTTTCATTCCACTCATCTTCGCCTCAGACGGTGTTTCGGAGGGACAATTCAAGCAGGTCTTGGAGCAAGGTTAGCCTTCACATTTCTCTCCTTGCGCAACTACTGACCCTGTCGCAGAGCTTCCGCTTATCAAAAGTACGCCAGTTAGTATTTTATCCAGATGTCTGGTCATTCCATCTACCAGAGGCCTGCGCTTCCCTCAACATAAACCCGAAGATCACCATCCTTGTCGTGGGAAAGCGCCACCATGTGCGCTTCTTCCCACAGAGCGAGCGCGATGCAGACCGCAGCGGAAATTGTCGCGCGGGCACCGTGGTCGACAGGGAGGTATCTCACCCGACGGAGTTTGACTTTTACCTCCAAGCGCACGGCGGTCTTTTGGGCAAGTGCCCAGCATTCCTTTTCTTCGCGATGCTGATTGTTATGCTTCGATCTCCAGGTACTAGTCGTCCGGCGCACTACAGTGTTCTCTACGATGCACGTTTATCTCATTCAACTTGTTTTTCTTTGCTGACCTGAACCTCCCAGGAGAACAACTTCAGCGCGGACGCCTTACAGTCGCTCTCCTTCGCCTTGTGCCACGTCTACGCCCGTTCAACGCGTTCCGTGTCCATCCCGGCCCCGGTCTACTGTCCGTCTTCTCTCCTTGTCTCCCTTTCTCTTGTTCATCACCAACAGACGCGGACATTGTCTGCTCCCGGGCGAAGAACCACTACGATCCCCAGGGCACTGTTGACTTCTCCGACTCGGCGACCCAGGTCGACGATGGGCAAGCTGCCAGCACTCTCGAAGCTTTCCGACGCGGATTCAAGCCCTTGCACCAGTCGCAATCTACTCTGATGTATTTCTCGGTTCGTCGTGCCTAACCACTCTGTCTTGTTCGCTATCTGACTCTTCTCTCCAGTAATCTAAGTAGTGTACCTATCTAACATGTAATCTTATTGCTACAATCAATTCTCGTTGGCTTTTCGCCGCTGTAAACCGTGTTCGCTATGATTCTGAGTTTACCCCTATCCTGATGTAGCCTCTTTGATGGGATCAGCAAGACGCGCTCGATCGATTCCTCGCGCATATGACGTCACGCGACTATGCCTGCTTTCAACTTCCACCTCCCCGATTTTCTGCTGAATGTTGCCGTAGGTCTCTCGGACTTGGACTCCTTTGTGGCCCACGGCCAACGTAGTCCAAAATTGAACTCTTCAGGTAACGCTTTGGCACTCGAAGATGGCAAAACTCGTAAGCTTCAGCCACACATCAGCAAAACCTGACCCTCCTACGCGGTGCTACGTAGCGCTACAAAAGTGCTCGTAGCGCTCGTAGCGATAGTAGCACTCGTAGCAAGGGTTCTAGCTACGTAGCGCTACCGTAGCAGACCGTAGCAAAAAGAGCACATTTCGTAGCGCTACGTAGTGCTACGTAGGAGGGCCGTAAAAATAAGAAAAAAATACTACAGCGGCGGTAGTACATACAGGATTCCACAACCCGCAAAACAGACACAAAATATAAATGAATGAAATCTTATTTTTCTAATCTACGACAAAAAACAGGGACGGACAGCAGCATCGACGGAGTGGAACTGGGCCAAGAACTGCATAGAAGAGTATAAGTAGAGGAGAGAGCGCGCATCGGGACTTAGGTTGAGAAGCAGGCTCTGTCTTTTGTGTGAACTTGGAAGGATTGACCCAAGAAACAAAGTCGAAGTTGGCGAAGGGACGTTGAGTGGGTGCTTTGAATGGAGTGAACTTGATTTGAGAAGTTGATAAACACTGCTTGAAAACGAGCTACATGTTGACTAGAGCGGGCGAGCCCGGCGTCGTTGGAGCTTGAGCTGGAATTCACGTGTACACGATAGCAGAAACCGGACGAGGAAAGCACCTGTCTTGATTTCAACTTGGAAAAGAAAGTGCGAGGAATGAAGGAGCGCGCTTGAACATGTACCCGCAATAGCTCCGGGCCGTTGAACTGCTTGATGTGACGAGTTGGAGATGGGAGAAGTAAAATTGACGTTGGAAGGGCGCGAAGTTGATATGGTCATAGTTGATATGGTCATGATGTGGTAAGTGCTTGAAACGGCGTGTGGAATTGGCGGGGCGTAAGAGAGAACGCGGCCAGAACAGTACAACTTGAAGTACAAGATTGATGTGCTCCAGTCGGTCACACGCGGAGGTAGAGTTGCGCATGTGTGCCGCGTCCGCAGTCCGTCGACGAGGTTGACGTTCTATAGGCATAAAGTTAATAGACAGCCGGAGATGAATGAAGCCTTACGCACCGACTTCTGTTACCCGTTTGCCCATGCCCGTCCAGCGCCAACGTCTAACACGGCCCACTTTAACGCGGTAGCTGCTTGCAGAGTTGCTTTTGAATCGATCTACTAAACTAAGTCTTGACGAGGGGTCCGGCGGGGAGAGGTATAGCTCGTGAATGATGATGCGAGGCTCGGGCAACGTGAAGCTAATGGTGGTGGAAGGAGAAAGAGCGAGAGACTCCGAGCGGTGCATCATGGACAAATATTTGTACATGGTTCGTTTACATCACGTGTCATTGCTTCCGATTTCTTCCGAGCCTTGACTCGGACGCATCACGGCGCGCTGGGTTTGTGTGAGTCGCCACCAGCAATAGACCGTCTGACATGCATGCCAAACTACTTCTGATCCACCCACGTGCCGACGGAATTCACAAGGCTTAGACCCAATCCAGACATCGGTCCCGCCCACCTTCGCAAAGCCCGCCAAAATGCGAACGAAGACGACGTCGGGGTGAGTCAGAGATGAAGGTCGGAGGGGCTGTGCGCTGGAGAGTCAAAGTTTTCCAACCGTAACGTCTTGTATTTCCTCTATCCACCCGACCGATGTCAGCCCTCCACGGCCAATATCATTGGTACACCCCGCACGAGCACTGGGTCGCGCCTCGTAACGTCGTTGTGCTGTTACCGAGTGTTGGCTGGCTGGGCGATCTCAGCGTTGACCTTGATGATTCAAATGTCGTCGAGCCTCCCATGCTGCACACCCTTCGCGAGCGTGAGTTCGCGCTTCGTACAGCGTGTGCAGCTGCGGCGGCGGCTCGACACTCGCAACCGAGTTTCACGCCTCGTAGCTCGTACTTGGTGCAGCGCCGACATGCACATCCGACCTCCAGGTTTGAACTTGCCGTGCGCCCGTCGACGTCTGTGTCTTTGCTTTGTATTTGCGAACGGCAGTTTCCACAGAACTGAGGAAACCTGTTGAGTTCAAAGCAGCTGCTCGGAATATTTCCCATAGACTACCCGAGGCGTCCTTGCGTGCCTGCTGCTCAGCACACATCGATGGCATTGCAGATGCTGGAGATATGCAGAAAGTCGCCCTCTCAAATTTGAACAGGTCATTCTGAGGGTGAGACGGAGGTAATAAAATAAGCGGATTGCACGAACACATCAATATGTGTCTCAAATCCTAACCCACGTCGGACCCGAGGGGTATCTAACCGCCGCAGTGCTACAGAACTGGCTCCCACTACTACCTAGTACAACGAAACACTACAGAAATTTGCCAGTCCTACGTAGCACTACAAAAAAATTGCCTCCACTACGTAGTACTACTTGGGGCTACGAGCGCTACGAACGCTACGAAGATTACCTCAGCAGCTACGAAATTCTACGAGCAAAATCCGGTTTTGCTGATGCAGCTCGAACTTGCAAAAAAACACTTACTCCATTGACAAGTGCTTTATAAATTCAAAATCAGCCTCAAACAGCGCCGGTGCCTCTCTCTCACGCGTAAAAGCCGCGAGACAGCCTTTCGGCCCAAAGCATGAACGCGCCACAAAGTGTCTCTTCGTATCGGGAGAGTCATTCGGACACCTCAACCGCAATCCCGTCACGTGCGCGCGCAGGAGCATTGATTCCGTTACCGTCCTACTTTATGCTCAGTCATGATATGTCCTTTTCATCGCTCTGTACGTTGCATTTATTCATTGTACTTCTGTTAATTACTTGCACATTGCTTGTCTTTCCTTTCCTTCTTTCCAAGGTCTTCAGGTAGTGATACCCGAAGTGATTTCCGTCAACCGCGACATGGACTTGAAAGAAAGAAAAATCCTACACGCAAGAAAAGAGGGAAAAAAGAGGCCTTGCCTGGAATCGAACCAGGGTCGCCAGAAATCTCAAATTCAGAATCTGAAGTGATAACCATTACACCACAAGGCCGTGTTGATTTTTCTACTCACAGGTCCCTGGAGCAGTGCTGAAGTGTCCAGCGGATTTAATCAACTCGATCTCCTTCTCCCAAAGAGGAAATCGATTGAATTAACTAGCCGACATGTCTGTTTTTTTGCCTTTGCTTGACGAGGAAGAGGGCGAATTGCTGGATGCCCTCAGTCGAATCGGTCCTGTCGTCTTCGCCTCCTCCCACTCTCCGACTTTGCCGCTTCCTGCTCGCTGCTTTATCCTCGTTGATCACTCCCGTCCTTTCGCCTTGGACGAAGCTGTCTCATGGCTGGATAGTGGCGTAGAAAAGCTTATCGTTCCGCTGTCGTGGGCCAAGGAACTCATCGAGCTCATCTCCTCCCAGCGATTGCTACTTTTACTCGACGTCGGGAACATCAGCGCCGTGTCGGACACAGTGCGGAATGGGGTTTCCGGTGTATTGCTCAAGACCCCTGCTATCGACTTGGATCTGATTTCCTCAATCTCCAAATTCTTTACTGGATCGGCCATCCATGTCCTATCCAGCTCTTCAGTTCCCCCGACAAATTTCTTGATTCGCGGCCTGTTGGGGATCGGGGCAACACCAGTGCTCCCCGCCTCCCAGCTCACTCTCTCTGCTACCTCGGCCTCGCAGATAAATATTGCAGACGCGTTTCTCGCACCAATTGTATCCGATCGCCAGGATGGTCTATTTCCTACCGTTGTTTCCACAGAGACGGGACATTCACTCGGCCTCGTTTACTCCTCAGCTGAATCGGTCAAGGAAAGCATACTTACAGGGAAGGGTGTTTATCAGTCACGGAAACATGGATTGTGGAGAAAGGGCGAGACGTCAGGCGCAACTCAAGACGTTGTGAGTATACGGATGGATTGCGACTCTGACAGTCTCGAGTTCCGTGTGGTCCAGCACGGAGCTGGGTTTTGTCACCTCGATCGACAATCATGCTTTGGGGAAACGAGCGGCTTGCCCGCCTTGGAAAGTGCTCTCCGATCTCGTTTCGAGTCTGCACCAGAAGGCTCGTATACGAAGAGGCTTTTCAACGATCCGGAACTATTGCGCTCCAAACTCATGGAGGAGGCTGATGAGCTTTGCCGGGCAGAGGAGAAGGCGGATATTGCGTTTGAAGCTGCTGACCTTTTCTATTTCGCGCTGACTAAATGCATCGCTCATGGGGTTGGCATATCCGATATTGAAGCTTCCCTTGACAAGAAGGCGAGGAGAGTGACGCGGAGATCAGGCAATGCTAAACCGGAGTGGTCCAAGAAACAGGCCGTTCCTCCCCCACCACAGCCTCCCGTTCCGGAACCCGACGCGGATGCAGCCATTCGCATGCGAACATCTGACCTCGCCGACATTTCACCCGACGAACGCAGTGCTCTGCTTCGCCGTCCCGTTCTCAAATCCGATGAGATGATCAATAAAGTAAAACCCATAGTCGAGGACGTCCGCGCCCGCGGCGACACGGCACTGCTCGAGCTCACTGCCAAGTTCGATAAGGCAGAATTAACATCTACAGTGGTCTTCCCGCCCTTTGCAGCGGACACCATGGTAGTCGACCCCGAAGTCGGTGAAGCGATCAAAATCGCGTACGCGAATATCAAAACGTTCCACGAAGCTCAGGCAGATACGTCAACGCTGAGGGTGGAGACAATGCCCGGTGTTGTCTGTTCTAGATTCGCGCGACCCATAGCGCGTGTGGGGCTCTACGTTCCCGGGGGCACCGCTATTCTCCCATCGACTGCTTTGATGTTGGGCATCCCTGCACAAGTCGCCGGGTGCCACGAAATCGTACTCGCGACGCCGCCACGCCCCGATGGCAGCATCTCTCCTGAGGTGATGTACGTCGCCAACCTGGTCGGCGCGTCGGCGGTCCTCAAAGCCGGCGGCGCCCAGGCCGTCGCGGCCCTGGCATACGGCACGGAAACCGTCCCAAAAGTCGATAAAATATTTGGCCCTGGTAATCAATGGGTCACTGCGGCGAAAATGCTCGTTCAGAACGACACGGATGCGTTGGTGTCCATCGACATGCCGGCTGGCCCATCGGAGGTCCTGGTGAGCACGATTTTTTTACGACTCGGGATAGAATATTCAGAAGTCATTCAGGTAATTGCAGATTACACGGCCAATCCAGCATTCGTTGCCGCGGATCTCCTATCCCAGGCAGAGCACGGTGTCGACTCGCAGGTCGTACTCGTCACAGTCAACCTTGACGAAGACAAGCTGGCGGAGATCGAGAACGAACTGGACGTACAGGCGCACGCCCTATTGCGCGTCGACATAGTGCGCAAATCCATCGGCAAAAGCATCATCGTCAAATCCTCTTCGGTGAAGGAAGCGATTGCTTTCTCCAACGACTATGCTCCGGAACACCTGATTCTCCACTTGGAAAATGCCAGCGAGCAAGTCCAGTTCATTAACAACGCCGGTAGTGTATTCGTTGGGCCATATTCACCCGAAAGGTATGCAATACTTTGAAAGAACTGTGACTCGCAATACTCAAAAGACATGACAATACATAGTTGCGGAGATTATGCTTCAGGTACAAACCATACTCTGCCCACGAACGGCTACGCGCGCCAGTTCAGCGGAGTCAATACCTTGTCGTTCCAAAAGCACATCACGTCCCAGGAAATCACCGAAGACGGCTTGAAAGCACTCGGACCCATCGTCGCAACGCTAGCTGACTGTGAGGGTCTCGAGGCGCACGCCAACGCTGTTAGAATCCGTCTGAACTAGGATGCCAAAGTAGTCTATTTTGTATAAGCAAAGCACAGATTAAAGGGCTAGTTAGTGCGGTAGAGTGCCCGTTTTGCGACCTTGACGATCAGGGGAGTGTCCGGGAAAGCGAGGTTCTCGAGGTTAGTTGCGTACTAAAAGCAGCAGTCAGTCAAGTAGGGAGATAGAATGATGTGCTGGACGGACCGGTGTTGGGACATCAGCGCCAGTAACTCTTTCGACGGGCGCATCGAGGTAGTCAAAGGCCTCGCTCTCAATAATTTGGGCGCAGATCTCGCTACCAACACCAAAGGCAGGGAAGCCACCCTCGACAATGACGAGTCTGACCGAAAATGTCAGTTAGGCAGAGATTCGGAGCTTGTGTTACTGACCTGTTGGTCTTCTTGACCGACTTGATAATGGTGTCGATATCAAGGGGACGGATACTCCTCAGATTGATGACCTCCGCCTTGATGCCCTCCTCAGCCAGCGCCTCGGCCGCCTCGAGACAGTGCGTAACCATTTTGCTGTGGGCAACAAGGGTGACGTCGCTGCCTTCACGCTCGACCTTGCACTTTCCGATGGGTATCGTAAAGTTATCGGACATGGCCTCGGCGGACATGGGGAAGGAGACACCGTAAAGCATTTCGTTCTCAAGGAAGACGACGGGGTTGGGGTCGCGGATAGCGGACTGCGGGATGTCAGGGAACATTGTTGAAGGAAACACTTTCGAAGGGAAAAGAGAAATACGTACCTTGAGCAGGCCCTTGCAGTCCTCTGCGCTCCACGGACTAACGACCTTCAACCCGGGAACGGACCCGTACCAAGCAGCGTAATCCTGCGAATGCTGTGCCGCGACACCAGCGGCGGCACCGTTAGGACCGCGGAAAACGACTGGGCAGGGTACATTTCCGCCCGACATGTAGTACGTCTTGCCGGCCGAGTTGACGATTTGGTCAATCGCCTGCATAGCAAAGTTGAAGGTCATGAACTCGCATCTACAGAGAAGGCGCGGTGAGCGGTGCAGACGCGGTCGGAGGAGAGAGCGACGTGCATCGGGCGCAGGCCAGATAATGCGGCGCCAACAGCCAGGCCAGCGAATCCCATTTCTGTGATTGGCGTGTCGACGACGCGCTTCTCACCGAACTTGTCGAGAAGGCCCTTTGTGACCTGGGAATGCGAAATAAATTTGTGCAATGAGTTTTGACTGTGCGATAAGTTTTGCAGCGGGTGAACAGTGACCTTGTATGCGCCGTTGTAGCGCGCGACCTCCTCGCCAATAATGAAGACCTTCTCGTCGCGAATCATCTCCTCCTCCATGGCTGCGTTGAGGGCGTCGCGGACGGTCATCTGCGCCGACGCACTGAGGAAAAGGCATACTCGGAAATAAGATAGAATATCGTACGGTGTGCTCTGCGTCGGACGAGGCATAGCGGCGGGCCCGGAGAGCATTCGAGGCAGCCAGTGCCGCCGACGGGCGAGGGCGGGCCAGACGGGGGAGGGCTAGACGAACAGCCATGGAAGGAAAGCGAAGCGCGGAAGGTAAAAACAATATTTTAATTTTGATATTGAACCCGGGTTCATCCGCACATCATGTCCCCAACCCCAATGTCTTCTACCACCACCACCGTAAGTCCCGTTTCCATCTCACTAGACCAACTGACGCGTCTCTATTTAGCCTGCCACGGTCCTTGTAACTGGAGCGTCCAAGGTACTCTCGCTGCGACTCAATCGCTGCTTCCACTTGAGCTACCACAGGGCATTGGGCTCGCCGTGGTCACTATCTTGCGCACTAAATTCAACGCAAATGTCGTCGCCTTGTCGCGCACACGCTCCCCAGAACTTATAGCTTTGGCCTCCGATTCTCTGCTGCTCGTCGACGGCGACATGTCAGTACTGCCGCTAGTGTCTTTGCGGCCGCTGCACCCGACTCATTTCTCCCGCCAGCACAAACGGTGCGGCCGTTGCGGATGCAGTCGCACTGGCCCTCAAGTCCTTTTCCAGCCTTGATGGACTTATTTTAAACGCCGCAACCCTCGCACCGCTGTGCCGCATTGCGGACGACACCCCAATAGAGCAATGGAAGTCCCACTTTGACGTCAACTTTTTCTCTCTTGTCACGGCGCTGAAAGCTGCTCTCCCTGCTCTGCGCGCCAGCAACCTGGGTGGTACGTCTGTTGAATGCCCCAGAATACTCTTCATCTCTGCCAGGACGCGTCGTCTTCGTTAGTTCAGGCGCCTCAGTCAAAGGCACCCCAGGCTGGGGCCCATACGCCGCGAGCAA